TCAGTGCTTGCTTAATGACCCTGGTCTGTTTCCTGTGTGACAGGGGCCCATTTGACTGTGAGATGGAACTGTGCATGGCCTGTGGACCCACTTAGGCCTCAGGACAGGTGCTCCAGGGTACCCTGGGGGTTTGGCACAGCCTTGGTTCCATATAAAGTGCTCTCCTAGCTGAGAAAACCACCCTGAGTGGTTCTTACCCGGAGCCCGTCCTCTCTCTCTCCTTTCTCTGTCTCTGTCTCTCTGCATCCCTCCTCTCTCTCCACTTGGGGTCCCAGGCTTTGCCAGGTTCCATTTCAAAGCAATGGGCCATGATTATAGCTTCTAAATCAGGTCAAGCCACTGAGTAGTTGTTGAGTGCCCCCTCCCGCCCCCCCCCCCCCCCCCCCCCCGGCACTGAGCACAGAGGGGCTTGTTGAAACCTTCTGCTACAATCTACATTTGCTCACAACAGTTTGTCGGGCACTCCCCAGCCTAATGCACCCTGTGCCCCACGAGGAAGGCAGTCCCACTCATCCCCACTGATAGAGACTGCCCACCTGCTCCTCTGGGAGGTGTGGAAACTGGGGTCTGGCCCATGACTGTCGTTCGGGTCTGAACCTCTTCACCAGTCCCTGTGTCTTGTTCTGTGTGTAGGGCCACAACTGGTGATGCTCGAGATTGACTCTTGGCTCTGTGCTCAAGGATCAGTCCTGGCAGGTTCTGGGGACCCTGTGGGGTACTGGAGATCTAAACTGGGTCAACAGCATGCAAGGCAAGTGCCCTCCCCACTGTGCACTCTCTTGGGGCCCAACCAACAATCTTAGAGGCTGCAGTGTGAAACTTGGTACCCAGAGCAATCAGGTTTCCTAACACTAAGGCTTGGGCTGGGACTGTGAGGCTTGGCATATTGAACAGACACACAGATGCCCTCTTCTTGTCTGGGGGGAGACCTGGGATTCCAGTCAGCTGGATAGGGCCGTGTGAAGTTCATGAACCTTGACTGTGTCAGCAGTGCCTGGGTGTTTGGGAACAGAAGGACAGATGGGTTGAGTTTTCTGAGCCCCTCCCCTTCCTTGCCAGACCCCACTCTCATAAGCCTGGGCCGCTTTTGCAGCTGTTCTGGATACCCCAGGTCATGGGACAACCCCCCTGATAGAGCCTCCAGGAGCAGGGCTGGAAACTGCCCTCTCTTCACAAATGCTGAGAGTAGTGTAGCACCCATCTCGCTATGTTCTTCAAATCTTTGTTCAGTTTTGAAAAATCTCAGCAGTATAGGAAGTGTGCACTTTTAAGTGTCACTTAAAAAATGCTTTCTGCCTTATTTTATTTATAGTAAAATAAGTTATAATTTATTTTAACAATATAATTTTGTATTACTGGTGGTGCTCAGGGGTGACTCCTGGCATTGCTGGAGGGACCGAATGTGGTGCTGGGGATTGAACCCAGGGTTAGCTGCAGACAAAGCACATTCAGGTGTCTTAACCTCTGTACTATCTCCCCACCTCCAAATTTAAATGACAATCTAGGCCTGCCCGAACTAGCAAATAGAGGACTCCTGGTATCTCAGAAGATCCCAGCTGGCCTCTCCCTGCTTTCCGAAGTTGTTTTGGTGAATCATTCTCTTTTTATGGTTTTCCCCTCTGGGTTAGTTATCTCTCTGTGCCAACAAACCACCTGAGTCCAGTACATGAGACCAGTTGTTTTCAACCTTTTTTCCAACTGTAGACACTTACGGCTTGGTTTCCTTCCTGTGTGCGCCCCCTCCCCCCCCACGCACACACCCACCCTATCAGCCTCCTAATCTTGAGTTGAGCTGTGACTCCCCCCCCCCCACACACCCCGTGTATGTGATTGCTCACTTGTGTCCCCATAGAATGCACGGGGTTGGGGGTGGGGGAGTCCCAGGGAGCCACATAAAATACCAACCTAGACCAGCAGCAGTTTCTTATTTCCCTTTTCTTTTGGTTTTGGGGCCACAACTGGCTGTAAGATAGCATAGATGGCTGGAGAACTCTTACTTAACCCTCCCTGCCCCCCCCCCCCATGGGGCTGGGCACGGGGCAGAGCAGAAGGGGATTGGGCCTCACCTGATGTGCTCAGTGCTTACTCCTGGCAGGACTCAGGGGTCCATATGGGATGCTGGGGATTCAACCTGGTCAGCCATGTGCAAGGAAAGCCCCCTACACTCTCTTGCTCTCCCTCTCCGATCCTGAGCATTTTTTACGGGGACTGCTGACTGCAGCACTTGGGGAGCAGCAGCCCCCCCCCTTGTTTCCTGTGCACCACAGGGGGTCCAGGCAGGGGCCTCTGGTCACTGGCTCCCTGGTCCCCGCAAAACCCAGATCCAGTGGGTTTTCTGCCACTGAAGACCACAGACAGTGACGGGGCGCTGTCATGCTCTAGCCCAGCTCCTCAGAAGGAAGGAGCTCCTGGCGGTTTCCCCACAGCTCCTGGGGGAGAGAAGCCTGTTTGATCTTTCCAAATGGGCAGCAGCTGGTGGACTAGAGGCTTTTGCTGTGAGGCAGCCTGGGGGCCCCTGAACTCCACCTAGGCCTATTAGCTTTCCTGTGGGGGTCATCTCTTTCAGCGCTGGATGGACCCCCTTCCTGCTCCCACCCCTGGGAGGCTGATCCCAGGATCAGCTTCTTTAAACTTAAGAGGTGCTTATCTGGGTCTGGCTGACATTTTTCTTTTTCCCTTTCTTTGAGTTCCTCTTTTTCTCCCCTTCTCTTCCTCCTTTTCTCCCTTCCTACTTTTTGCCGGACGGACTGGCAGTGGAGGCTGCCTCAGGAACCCTCAGGGCCTGGTCTTCTCCTGCTGACCCTCCCTCCGTGTGTGTCACGCTGGGCTAGCTCTGGGCAGTCTCTCCAGGGCAAGACTCTGGTCATTAGTGTTGGGTGGAAGCAAAGCACAGAGCCGCCGTCCTGGGGGCAAGAGGGAAGGACAGGCTCTCCCCACTCTCCCAGGGACTTCCCCCGCCTTCTCCCTAAGGCCTCTAAAATAAGAGCAAGTCAGGTTCTGCCCCATCTCCCCTGAGGAGCGCCCTGGCCTGGAGGAGGTGCCTGGCCTGGGGCTGTTCCCTGGGAGCTGCCAGCATGTGTGGCTTGTGGCTTTTCCTGTGGGGTCCCCTGGAGCCAGCAGCAACTCCCCTCCCCACTGCCCCACCCACCCCCCCAGCCAGGCAGCTTTTTCATGTTTATCTTTCCCACAGGCCTAGTAGTGCTCCAGCTGGACAATTCTGCTCCGAGCAGGCTGCAGCCAAGGCCTGACCTGAGAGACCTCAGTTTGGGGGTGGGGGGTGGGGTGGAGAGGCATCACCTGGTGCTTGCTGAGTCCATGAGATGCTGCTGCTCGGATATGGGGTTGGCACCTGGCAAGGCTGAGGAAGGGGAGCCCCCTGCCAGGAGGGAAGGGTTGGACTGACTGGAAAGTTCTGAGGCTGGTTGAGGAGTCTGACTTGTGGGACCTGCGGTCCCTCCCTATCCGCACCAGGCTAGGGACTCCAGTCAGAGTTTGGAGCGCAGGAACTGTAAGTAAGGCCCGGTCACCACAGACAGGCGCCAGGGCGGGCTTCCTGCCCTTCCCCGCTCACACTTTGAAGAGCTCTGACCAGACACTAATGAGCATAACAGAGTCCAAGCTGCAGGGCTGGTTGGGAAGGAAGGACAGCCTGGGTGCTGGCGGGTGGGGTGGGATCCTGAGCACCAGAGGACTGGACTGGCCCCGCCCCGCCCCCAGTGAGTCTCTGACCTCTGGAAAGTTTCTGGTCACTCTGGGCTGGGGTGGGGTAGGGGGCCTGTGTTCTCCTGAGGCTCAGTAGGAGAGGGTGTGGCCTTCGAGGCAGTGCAGCACCCACACAGCCATACATGGTCGCCTCCTCAGCGGAGCCTTGTGGGGTGACTCATCCCCAAGAGGCTGATGTAACTGGGGAGCGGCCTGAGCCGTTCTGGGCAGACTCAGGCCTCGGGGAAGAGGTCTGGAGGAACAGAAAGAAAAATGGCCCCCTGTCACCTGCTGGGCCCGGGCTGGAGGGGCATGGAGCGGTGTCACCCGCCCCCAGGAGAGGGGACACTTTTATTTTGGAACAGGATCTTTCATCCAGGCAGGCTGAAAATTGAGCTGAGGCTGACGCTTGATGCCGGCTGGGGGCCGGGGGGGGGGGGGGGGGGGGGGGAAGGGGGGAGGGGAAGAGCTGTTCTAGGGGCGTCCTTTGTCAGGGCCTGTGTTTCCTTATGAGCCAGCCCCAGGCTGTGGCATTTTTCTGCCCTTGGCATGAGACAGTATGGCGTAGCACATTAGATGCAGCCTTTCCCAGAGACTGTTGCCTGGGGTGGGAGAGGATTCTTCAGGGCTGAGGTTTCTGGAAGTAGAAGCCCCCCCCACCCACCCCCCGCACCCCGCACTCAATATGTAGTTTCTCGAGCCTGACAAAGTGGGGTATCCACAGCCTGCTCCACCAGCATCGAAGGAGCTTTCACAGAACCCCAAGGGTGAGGCTGGGGAGCGTTGATTCCTAACATAGCTAGGCTATAACATCAACCTTCCAAAACACTTATTTCACCATTGAAAAATCAGAACAAAAAAAGAAAGGTCTTCATAAAGCCAGATGCTTCTAATTGTCTTTTAATTCTAAAATTTTTGTCATGCATTTTGTGAAAATAAAACAAAAACCAAACCAAACCCAATAACAAAACTCCCTAAGCTAACCTGTTTTCTGTATTTGAAATTGCTGATAGTTATCAGTGATATTTATATTTGTGCTTTGAACTTCTGGGATTCCCTGAAAGGCCCAAAGGTGACCGTTCTGTGTTCTGCAGTGCTTTGTGACTCTTGACATTTCCTGGCAAGTAAGCCTCGGCCCCTCCACACCCCTGGTGGTCTAGTTTGTAGCAGGTGCTTGTAGTTCTTTCCCCTTTTGTGGACTTGTGTGACTCTTCCCACCTCTCTGCATTTCTCACCTGGAATTTGGGGGCTAGAGCGTCCCTTCTCTGCCTAACACAAGGTCCCTGGGCTTTCCCCAGCGATGGATTTCCCCCAGCACAGTCAGCATGTCTTGGAGCAGCTGAATCAGCAACGGCAGCTGGGGCTTTTGTGCGACTGCACTTTTGTGGTGGATGGTGTGGATTTTAAGGCCCATAAAGCAGTTTTGGCAGCCTGCAGCGAGTACTTCAAGATGCTCTTCGTGGACCAGAAGGACGTGGTGCACTTGGACATCAGTAACGCGGCAGGTACCCTGTTGGGTCTAGGGCCCAGCTTGCTGAGGACCGGAAGCTGTGGCTGGTCCTCCCGACACAGTCCCTGCCCTCCTGCAAGCAGCCCCTTCACACTGGGGAGTGCCAGGCCCCGCACACAGGAATCAGGCCGTGAGTGCGTGGGTATGAAGTTCCTGCCACATGTGGCACCTCTTCTGACTGGGATAAACAAGCTGAGCAGAGGGAGCAGAGACCAGATGGGCTCTGAGCCCATGACTCCTTTCACTGCTCAGTCCACCCTGCGCCGCCTCCTCCGGTGCTCGCTTTAGTGAGGCTGGTGTGAATGGGGCTGGGGAGGCATCAGGAAGGAACTGCTTCTAGATGCGGACTCCCAAGCCAGAACGGTGTGGCATGCCCAGAGGCCAGGCAGGTAGTCCCCCATTTCACAGATATGGAAACAGAGACCCAAAGATCAGGTGACTGGCCTGTTGGTCAGCTCGAGTTGGTGGCCGAGCCCTGAGAGCCAGCGCTGACATACTCTGGTTGGAGTGTGCAGGGGACAGGTGGTCACACCCTCTGTCCACTGTTGGGGCGAGCTTTCACAGTCCCATCCTTCGTGAGACTTGCACTGTCCACCCTGCACACATTCACAGCCTCTGGCCTCCACGAAGGGTGGGTGTCCACCCCTATTTTGGAGACTGTTGTCTCTGCTCTGAATCTTCAGTGCCCTGTCTTTCCCTCCCCAAAAGGACCAGAGGGGTGGGGGTGGGGGTGGACACGGTAGTCTGACACTCGTTTTTCATGAATTGTTAGATCCTTCTGGTGTGCGGGGCAGCTGGGCAGGTTTTGATGCGGGCGTTGAAGTGGATTCGTGACAGTGGTGTGTGTCCTTGGCAGGCCTGGGGCAGGTGCTGGAGTTTATGTACACGGCCAAGCTGAGCCTGAGCCCTGAGAATGTGGATGATGTGCTGGCCGTGGCCAGCTTCCTGCAGATGCAGGACATCATCACAGCCTGTCATGCCCTCAAGTCACTTGCCGAGTCGGCCACCAGCCCTGACAGGAACCCCGAGGTCCTGGCCACGGAAGGTAAGCTGATCGGCAGGCAGCTCCTGAGCACAGGGCTTCTGGTGGGGGCTGTGCCTCTCGGGGTTAACTGCTCTGGCTCAGTTTCCACATCTGGTCTTGCTTGTGATGCGAGGTGCTGCATCTACCACAGTTAATTCTCAGGCAGGCCACTGGAGGGCCCTTCTGCCCGTCTGTTTCTTTTCTGCCTTTATGCTCTGCTGCCAAGGAGAACCGGGAAGCCTTGCCCGGTTAAAGCTGAGCCTGAACCCTGAGAATGTGGATGATTCCCGGTTCAAGGCCTTGAGCTTGGGGTTTACTGCTCCTGCATCTTGTGTGCCCTTCCACTCTCCTGACCACCTTGGGAAGGCTTGCTGCTGCCCGGGCAGGTGCGATTTCTTGTGGAACCTTTCCAGGGAGTGGCACTTGACCCCTGAGAGCTGAATGCTGAGCTGGGCAATGTTCCACTCCCCCCAATAGCTCTGTGTGACTTTAGTTTTCTGGGGCCCAGCATGGTGTGGATTGTTTGCCTGCATGGCGTTTGGTGAACAAAGAAACCAACAAGCCACTCCAAGTGGCAGTACAGATCCCCTGACCCCCATGGGGGAATGATGTATATGCGCGCGTGCACATGCAAACACACGCCCTTGGGTGAATGATGTACACACACATATACACATGCACTCACACACAACCTTAGGGGAATGATGTACAAATGTGCGCACGCGCACACACACCCCTTTGGGGGAGTATTGTACTATTGTACACACACACACACACACACACACACACACACGGGTGCTACTAGGGAGAGCTTTCTGTTCTATTGGGTCAATTTTCAAGGAGCTGCTGAGTGATTTTTTTTTTAAAGAGGGCAATAGGCCTGAATAAATTTGGAAACCTGTGAGCAAGCTGGATCCCTATGGAGGAAGGAACCTGGGTGCTTGATGGCAAACAGCGTGTCTGTCCGGGTCTGTCTCCAGGGGCGGACAGGAGAGCTAAAGAGGAGAAGACGGCGGTCACCACAGTGAGCGAGCTGGAGCCCGCCAGCAGCAGGGCCCCTCACGGCCCAGGCAGGGAGCCCAAGGAGGAAAGAGGCGGCCAGGCAGAGAGCGCAGCCAGTGGTGAGTGAGGGTGCAGAGGGGTTGCAGGGAGTACCCAGGTGACCCAGAATCATCTGTTTAGTTCTTGATCTCTGTTCCAACCTGTGCAGGGTTGTGCTGATCCAGCCCAAGGCCTGGCTTCCACCAGGGCCTGTGGCCCCTGGACAGAGTGTCCTCATTCAGTTTCTGCTATCCCCACTCCCCAACCCAGGTGCGGAGCCAACAGAGAAGGCCGATGCCCCCCGGGAGCCCCAACCTGTGGAGCTCAAGCCCGACCCCACGAGTAGCATGGCTGCTGCTGAAGCCGCCTTGTCTGAGAGCTCGGAGCAAGGTACTATGTCCGCACTCCCGACTGGGGCCCGGCCCCCTGCCCGCCAGGCCCTTCTGCTCCAGGGCCGCCCTCCTGCTTCAGCTTTTCTCCTCTGCTTCCGGCTGTGTCCCGGGCATGCTGCTGATCAGCCCAGACGCTGTCTGGGGACCAGGGGTGGGACTCCTGTGTGCAGGGCTGACAGCCAGGACATGGCCTGGGGTTTTGCCTGCCTCTGGGCTGTCCTTTCATATATGTATTTTTTACTCTGACTTTTGGGCCTTACCTAGCAGTGCTCAGGGGACTGTATGGGGTGCTGGAAATCGAAACTTGGGTCAGCAACGTGCAAGGCAAATGCTCGACGTGCTGTCCTGTCACTCCGGCCCAATGGCTGTCTCCTTGGAGCCCCTTCTTGCCCTCCCTGCCCGTCCATGTCAGCGCTGCCCTTCTCATCGCAGAGATGGAGGTGGAGCCCGCCAGAAAAGGAGAAGAGGAGCGTGAGGAGGAGGAAGAGGAGGAGGAGGGTGCCCCACCTGCTATGGTCAAGGAAGAGGGGCTGCAGCTGGAGAAGGGAGAGGCCCCTGAGGAGAGTGAGGAGTCAGCGAGCACAGACTCAGGGCAGGAGCTGGGCGCAGAGGCCCGGGGCCTGCGCTCGGGCACCTATGGCGACCGGACCGAGTCCAAGGCCTATGGCTCGGTCATCCATAAGTGTGAGGTGCGGCCGCAGGGTGTGTCCTCCCACAGCCCGCCCCCGCCTCGGGCCCGGCCCTGCACCCTCCCCTCACTGCTTCCCTCCCGCAGGACTGCGGCAAGGAGTTCACGCACACGGGGAACTTCAAGCGGCACATCCGTATCCACACGGGTGAGAAACCCTTCTCCTGCCGCGAGTGCAGCAAGGCCTTCTCCGACCCCGCGGCCTGCAAGGCCCACGAGAAGACCCATAGGTACGAGCCTCCCCCGGGCCCCCCACCGGCCCCCTCCCGCCGGGTCCCGACCGTCTGGGAGCCCCACGACCCCGCCTCGGCCCTGTGCCTTTGATTGCAGCCCACTGAAGCCATACAGCTGCGAGGAGTGCGGCAAGAGCTACCGGCTCATCAGCCTGCTGAACCTGCACAAGAAGCGGCACTCAGGCGAGGCGCGCTACCGCTGCGAGGACTGCGGCAAGCTCTTCACCACCTCAGGCAACCTCAAGCGGCACCAGCTGGTGCACAGCGGCGAGAAGCCCTACCAGTGCGACTACTGCGGCCGTTCCTTCTCCGACCCCACCTCCAAGATGCGCCACCTGGAGACCCACGACACCGACAAGGAGCACAAGTGCCCTCACTGTGACAAGAAGTTCAATCAGGTGTGGGGACCGCGGGGCGGGGCATCCCCCACCCCCCGGATGGGCCTCTGGGGAGAGGACAGGGGGCCTCCCTGAGCCAGGGTTTTGAGCTCCTCCTGGAGGAGACTGGGAAGGCAGGCTGTGGCAGAAGAGACTTTGGGAAGAACAGGGTTTCTCTCACGGAGCATCCTAGACCATTCCAGGGGCCTTGAGGGGAGGGGCTGCTGAGGGGTTCCCTGAGGCCAGTTCTGTAGGGTGACCCTCTTGATGACTACCACCCCCGCCCCCTCCTTAAATCTAGGCACAAGGGGCGATAGCACAGCGGGTAGGGCGTTTGCCTTGCATGCGGCTGACCCGGGTTCAATTCCCAGCATCCCATATGGTCCCCCGAGCACTGCCAGGAGTAATTCCTGAGTGCAGCGTCAGGAGGAACCCCTGTGCACCACCGGGTGTGACCCAAAAAGCAAAAAAAAAAAAAAAATAATAATAATAATAAAAAAATAAAAATAAAATCCGGGCACAGGTGGGGAACCTCAAGGCCCACCTGAAGATCCACATCGCAGATGGGCCCCTCAAGTGTCGTGAGTGTGGGAAGCAGTTCACCACCTCAGGTAGGTCCAGGGCACCCGGGCTGCCTGCTTGCCCTCAGCTCCGCAGCCACCGTCTGGTCCCCGGTGCCAGGCCTCCCTCGTCTCGCTGCAGGGAACCTGAAGCGGCACCTCCGGATCCACAGCGGGGAGAAGCCTTACGTGTGCATCCACTGCCAGCGGCAGTTTGCAGACCCTGGCGCCCTGCAGCGGCATGTCCGGATCCACACAGGTGGGTGAGCATAGCCAGAATTGAGGGGAGATAGCCAGATACTGCCGGGAGGGGCCTGGGCGAAGCGGGCACCCACACCTTCTCCTGCCTCTGTCCCCAGGCGAGAAGCCCTGCCAGTGCGTGATGTGCGGCAAGGCCTTCACCCAGGCCAGCTCCCTCATCGCCCACGTCCGTCAGCACACCGGGGAGAAGCCCTACGTCTGTGAGCGCTGCGGCAAGAGGTCCTGCCCCGCTGCCAGCCACCCCCGCCTGGCGCACAGGGGTCCTGGGGTGCCCTGGGGGATAGAAGACCCACCTGGGACTCGGGGAACAACTGAGCAGCCTGGGGTCCCCAAGAGTCCTTTCTAATCCAGAAGCTGATGCAGGAGTTCCCCCGCCCAGCTTCCCTGACCCGCAGGTGGGAACACTTCGCGGTGAGCCGCTTCCTTTCCGCCCCTACAGATTTGTCCAGTCCAGCCAGTTGGCCAATCACATTCGCCACCACGACAACATCCGGCCCCACAAGTGCAGCGTGTGCAGTAAGGCCTTCGTCAACGTCGGGGACCTCTCCAAGCACATCATCATCCATACTGGTGAGCACAGGTGCCCACCTTCCAGCCCTGTCCCAACCTCTGCTCTAGGGGGCAAGGTGGTAGGAAGGGAGGGACCCCCAGATCCAGCCTTGGATACTGGCATTTGCTGCAGGTGGCCTTGAAGGCACTGAGTTCAAAGGAGGACCCCATTTTCTTAGGCATTCCGGAAGGTGCAGAGACCACTCGAGTCTTCTGTGCAGCTCTGGTGGCCGCCCCAGAGCACTTCCTACTGTAAATAAGAAGGTTGCTGGGGAAGCTGGAGGCCACTGAGGTGCTCCCCCCTCCCCCACTCCCCCCAATGGCAGGAGAGAACCTTGCCTCCCCCCCCAGGAGAGAAGCCTTACCTGTGTGACAAGTGTGGTCGAGGCTTCAACCGAGTGGACAACTTGCGTTCTCACGTGAAGACTGTGCACCAGGGCAAGGCGGGCATCAAAATCCTGGAGCCAGAAGAGGGTGGTGAGGTCAGTGTGGTCACTGTCGATGACATGGTCACACTGGCCACTGAGGCACTGGCAGCAACAGCCGTCACTCAGCTCACAGGTGCGGGCCGTGGGCAACAGGGAAGGATGGTCCGGGACAGACCACCTCTGGGATGGCACCAAGGAGGCAGGTGCCTCTAGCCTTAGGTCCTGCTGATTCTGCCCACAGTGGTACCAGTGGGGGCCGCAGTGACTGCCGACGAGACAGAAGTGCTTAAAGCTGAGATCAGCAAAGCTGTGAAGCAAGTACAGGAAGAAGGTGAGAGGGGCCGGCTAGGGTGTGCAAGCTGGTGGACCCCAGGCATCCCTTCAGTCCTGACCATAGCCCCACCTCCCACAGACCCCAACACTCATATCCTCTATGCCTGTGACTCCTGTGGGGACAAGTTCCTGGATGCCAACAGTCTGGCGCAGCACGTGCGAATCCACACGGCCCAGGCACTGGTCATGTTCCAGACGGACGCAGACTTCTATCAGCAGTATGGGCCAGGCAGCACATGGCCAGCTGGGCAGGTGCTGCAGGCTGGGGAACTGGTCTTCCGCCCTCGGGACGGGGCTGATGGGCAGCCGGCTCTGGCAGAGATGCCCCCCAGCGCCCCTGAATGTCCACCGCCTGCTGAGTGAGCAGGTATCCCTCCTCCTGCTTATTTAAGGATGGATGGCACCCTGTAACTGAGAGGGGTGGCCCCATCCTCTAGAGAGAATAAATTTGATTATTTTCTAATGCTGCCTTCAGCTCCCTAGGGGGTGGGGTGGGGAGCTGGTAACCTGGGCTGATACTGCAGAAGGGCTGCTCCACAGGAAACCAGCTGGCAGAGACCTGCTGCTTTCTTGGGAAAGCCAGGCTGTCCCTGCTACAGACTGGGACAGTAACTGTACCACCTGCCTGAGTGGTGGCCGCACACTCGGGGCTCAAGAGAATGCAGCCTCACCTGTCCTGTCATTCCAGTCTCCTCTTTGCAGGCTTCGTACCTATGCAGCTTTAGGGCTCGAACGCCTTGCTACACCTTGGAGCAGAGATGTCACCCTGCTCTCTCTCTCTGCCTGGGGTTTCAATAAGCTGGACCAGTAAGCACTGGCCACAAATGTTTGCCAGAATCCAGAGCCCAATCAGAGCCTGTCTTCCAGAGCAGCAGAGTAGGCAGACCAGCAGGCCACTGGCACAGTCCCATTGTGCTCGGGAAGCAGGAAGGCTCCGCACTCACTCACTCCATAGTAATCCCAGCCCAAGGATTAAGACCGAGCCAGAGCTGTCATTTGGAAACATGTATTTGCACTGAATTAGTGCGGTCTCTGCCAGCAGACCAGGAGTCTGGAGGGATGGAACAAACAATTAGCAGCTTTGATGGAGAGACGGGAAGCAGGGGTTGGAAGGATACACAGCATTACAGAAACTACAAGCAGCTCCTTTCCCCCTGTGGGTAGGGAGACAGATGCTATTTCCCACACAGCTTGCCCCTGGTAGCCATAATCCTTGATGCCGAGATAATGCCATCTTCTCCCTCTCAAAGGAGAAACATATTGCAAGTGAGACTACCAGCTGTGGTCCCCAGGTGCCCATCTCCCCCCACTGTGCCCCACCCCACTCATAGTGGGTCCTGCTGCAGGAGGAAATCAGGAGCACCAGGCCAGTCTGCTACTGCAAGGCCAGCTGGTGCCTCAGCCAGAGGAAGAGGAAGGGGTAAGAGACAACAGAGCTCACCTTAGGGGGTTCTGAGTTTGGGGTGGAGATAAGGGTATTTTGTAACTGAATTTAAAGTGCCTTCCACATTACCTATAAAGCAGTCAAGACCTTGGGTGCTTACACCACAGCATGGAAAAAACCATGGTTCAAGATTGGTGTCTGTGATAAAAATCTCTTGTAACTGAAATTAGTATGGGGGGGTGGGGATTAAATACTGAAAAAGTCAGCCCCCATTACAAACTAGGGGGCCGGGGAGAAAAAGCCAAAGTGTGAGGAGGGATAGCTTTTTTCCCCATAAGCCAGCAACCCTTGGTCTCCCCACCTAAGTGAAAATCACATTCACACTTGACTTGTTTTGTATTTTTTAATAAAGTTTGTAATCCAATGGACACACAAAACAAAACTGCGCTGAGAAAAACAGTTTCATAAATTAATAAGTGTTAGGAAGTTGGGGGGAGAGGTCAAGGTAACAGGAAGAGGGGATTAGCCAGTCTCTTTTTGTACAGTTTTGTGTGTGTGTGTGTGTCTGTGTGTGCGCGTGCGTGCGTGTGTGCATATGTCTGTGTCTGACACTCCCAAATTGCGGGGGGCAGGGCCCGTGCTGTAACGAAGCTCACTTATACAAATGAGTGACAATACAAAGTCTGAGTATGAAAATAAGATTTTCTCTGAAAACACATTTTTGGCACAGATTAAAAAAAATGTATGTCAGGGGAATTTGATTTAAGTCAGTATTATATATATTTATATATATTATATATTTATATATACACACATCCCAAGTTCTGCATATCCCACCAAGAAAGAAAATCCTTGTTTGCTCTTTTCTGATTGTAAACTGTACATCCCAGGTAAATCAAAGATGGTAGCGGCAAGAGAATTAAGAAAGGTGACACATCCAAATGAGCAAGGGGAAGGGTGGGGTGGGGACAAAACAATCCGATGAAATGTTCCTTGACCCCAAGGTTTCAGCAGAAGTTCAAAGTCCTGGTTAGCGTCTGTGATGTGTGTTCACACCAAGACATCCAGAGTGTCGCAGCCTGTCTTCACTGTGCAAAAGTCCAAGTCACTAATTTAGTGCAAAGGCAGTTCTGTTTTGTTTCTTAAAAACAAAAACAAAAATTAATTCCACTGCCCTGTTCCTTTCCTCCAAAAAGGAGGAGAGAGAAACCCAGCCCCAAGGTGTCTGCGAGTCCATCGGTGGGTGGTCTGTCCTTGGGCTAAATGTCATGTAAACATACGAGTAGCAGCACCACTGCCCACAGGGGTCTGTCCGACGGCGCGGGCAGGTGGGCAGGAGGGCGAGGCTGGCCGTCTGGCAGTGGAGTCTATCCCCTTCGGCAGCTTCTTCCTCCACGTGGCTGGGTTGTCCTGTGTTTATTTTTTGCTGCAGAGCCCAGGAAAACACACCGAGTGATGACCATTCAGTGGTTCACACAGAGGCAATGACAATCATGAGGTGGGGAGAAATGTTGGAAATGCTGGCTAGGAGGTCAGGGGCCAGTCGGGACAGGTGACTCTCCGAGAACTCACAGGGTGGGAAGATCTGCAGCACATAGGCAGGCTGGAGAGGGAAACAAGAGAGAAAAGTGGGACCCTGTCTTCACATCACCCATCCCACGACCATTTTTTCCTTGAAACAATTCCCCTGGGGGCTCAGAAAGCCAGGTTAGGTCAGTTTTCCAGCTGGCTAACATCTCTGAATTTGTCTACCGGAAGCAGCCTTGCTAGATGCTAGGAAGGAAACATCAACAAGCTCCCTGGGGCTCTCTTCTAAACAAGGCTAAAGAGAAGCCTCTCATCTCAGCTTTCCAGGAGCAGCAACGCCTCTGCCACACACCTGGGCTTGCTTCCCCTGTCCAAAATAGCTCTTTGCCCACCTGCTTTTGAGACTTTCCTGCACTTCTTAGTTGACACTGGTAACCCGTCACCAGATCAGTGGAGGCATGACCAGCCTAGCAACCTGTGCAAGCATTAGGAAGGAAACTGGCTAACCTGATTTGAGCCAGGGTTGGGAACGTTGATGATCCCTGCTGCCTGCTTGGCCTGCAGGTAAGTGATGAAAGCAGCCTTGAGGGACTCAGTCTGGCTCACCACATCCTCCTGGTCTCGGCCACAGGGAAGAGCCAGCAGCAGACAATAATCTGTTTCCACCTGGAGCAGAAACAGCCATCAGTGACAGTCATCCCCGGAGAACAGCAGCCCAAGCACAAAGAGGCCTGTCTAATCCAGGAACTCTTGTTTTCTAAGTCCACAAAAGCCCCACCTGAGATGGTCTTTAGTACACCTCATACTCACTGAACAAGGTTAACCTTGTTTCTAGGTCTAGAGGTAATTTACCACGTCACACCCCCAATCCATTCCAGAATGCCATCCTGGCATCTTGTGACAAGCCTGAGACAGGCAGATTGAGGGGTCTCATGCTTTCCCTCCGCTCATCTGGCCCCACTCTTACCGTCATCCTTCGGGCAACTCCTTCCAGCTGGGAAGCTTCCAGTCGCATCCTCTGGGCAATCCTCAGCGGAGGGCCTCCTTCAGAGAGGGGCAGGGACCGATGGGCGAGAACATTGTTGCCAGAGACAAAGTGGAGCTGCACAGCAGCTGTGTCGTTCTTGAGAGCCAGCAGGCCCTGCCACACAATGGGGTACTTCTGCTCAAAGGGAAACAAACAGGAAGTAAGCTCATGGGATGGAGCAGAGGTGCTAGACCTGGCCCTAGCGGTAGATCATTAGTCAAAGTCAAATGGGATTGAAGAACATTCAGAAATACCACAAAGCAGGGGGACCCCATATGGCACCCTAAGCATTGCCGGGAGTGATCCCGGAGTGCAGAGCCAGGAAAAAACCCCAAGCACTGCCAAAAACAAAACCCCAAAAGAGCACAAAGCAGGGCAAGAGAGTGAGTCTGGGGCTTGGCTGGTACGAAGCTGACCCCAGTTCGACCCCTGGTGCCATGCCACACAGTCCCCAAGCATCACCAGGTGCAGCCCTGGAGGTCGACAAGTAACCACCTGGGTGGCTTGGCTAAGCCCAAGCTCTGCAGGACCCAGCAGCACCACATCCTTAGGTCCTCCATGTTTAGCCATCTTTGAGAATGCTTGGGACCTCCTATACACTGGGAAGCCCAACGCTAAGCGATGAGGTAGAGCGGAGGCCCCTGTGCATCTTTACCTTTAGAAGCTGGACCATATCCACAGGCCTTTGGGAAGTCAAGTGTGGAGAGGAATCTTGTTTGGGGGTGGGCTGGGCATCAATGTGCGGCAGAGCCAGTCCAGGAGGGGTGCTGGGGCCTGAAGTTGTGGGGACAAACAAGGGCTGCTTTGGGGCAGCCTGAGCAGAAAGAGGAGCTGGGAGATCAGATTTCAAGGAGACAGACACAGGGGAAGGATAGGAGGTCTGGCTTGTTTCTGCTTGAGTCCTCTGAACCTGGGCATGAGGTTCAACTGGCCTATTTGCAGGTACAGTTGGGAGACGGGGCTGCTCTACGACTGTCTGGGTCCCCTTCGCCTCCTGGGAGACCTGAGGCATCTTGCTGCTTGGTGGCTGGCCTGGCTGGCTGAGCGGGGAGGGCTGGCAGGACTGTGTGGGCTGAGCAGGCTGAGGGGGCTGCACGGGCGGGGGAGGCTGTGTAGACTGTGGAGGCTGAGTGGGCTGCAAGGCTTCACCTTCAGGTGGGGGGCCCTGGACATGGTGAAAAGAGAAAGAAGAGTCAGAGTCTGTTAGGCACAGCATCTGGTTCCCTACAAGCAGACCCAGGCAGAACTGCTGCACTGTGATACCCCCAGTTTGGCCCTGGGAGGGGCACTAGACAGAGGCTCTGGTAAATGTCTCTGTTCCCCCTCTCCTCCCCACTCCTGCAGCTAGGAGTCACACCACCATTCCCAGAATACCTGCCCCACATCCCCAAGAGGCTCGTGATGCTCCCTTTCTCCTAAAATTTAGCAAGATTTCTCTTGAAAATCCTGGCTAAACTCAATTCCTCTTTTGCAAACCACAGCACCCAAAAGGAGAGAGTGAACAAAAGGGAATGCCCTGCCACAG